TCTCGGATGAAGGTGAAACGTCTTCAAGCAACTTAAAGAAGTCCAGACGCTTTTCTTTCCAAGCTCCTTAGACAACATCCATCTTAAAAAGTAGCATCTTAATAACATTTCCCATATTTCTGAACTGCTTTGATTTTGGATTAATTTTGCATAAATCTGAATCTTCTGAGCGTTCTGTGAATGTTGTTTAAATTTCTAACTGATCTGTGTTCTTAAGGTGATCATTGGAGCTTTGGAGAGCAGCGGAGACATTGTGTCTGTCTCCTGCTGTGACAACGAGATCTTCGTCCTGAAAGGAGATCGTGACATCATCCGCCTCTCCAATAGCCCCGAGGGTCTTGCCTCCAACTGTGAGCAACTCCAGCACTACCAGTATAATATCACAGGAGCATAATACTGCCACTACTACTACTAAAAGCCCATTGCCAGTATAATCTCACCAATTCTCTTTTTCACATACCCTCATTCTGTCTGTCAGTGTTGGACCTCTCTGTCTGTCTGTCCTCACCCTTGACCACACCCACCATCCTCCGATCAGTCGGATCAGTGGAAATTGCTCAGCCAATCAGAACCATGGCCATCATTACAGAGGGAGGGGGAAGAGAGGATGGCGAAGGAGGGGAGGGCAGACAGGAGAAAGCAGAGGAAGAAGAGGAGGGAGGAGTGGAGGAAGTGGAGGAGGCAGAGGAGGAGCAGCAAATGGAGGTATGGCTGCTGCTGTGGTTTACCTGGATTCCTGGGACAGCCTGCAGTAACCATACCTGTCCTTTTTGTTAGGGTAACCAGGTGTGTTTGGTCGTGATTCCAGGTTACTGAGCTTGGCCAGCTGTCCGGTTTGTTCGCAAGTAGCTCTCGAAGCCGCAGCAGTTCCGTCACTTCATGGGACGGTCTCCATGGAAACGCTCCAGCGAGTGGTTCTTGCGAGCTGACATGCAGACGTTACAGCACCCCCCTGGGTCAGGAGCAGATGCAACAGGAGCTGGTGGTAAAGCCCATCAGAGTGAAGAAGAAAAAGAGGCGACGACAAGGCAAGTGTGACTCCTCCCACTCTGTAAAGCAGAGATGACCAATGTGACTCTGTGACGAGTACACAGAGCAACAGTTTGAACAGGAGACCAGACAGACAGGTGAGTGTGTGATTCTGACCTGTCTCTCTCTCCTCAGACAGCGGCGGTGCAACCCGCCTCTCTGAGAGCAGCTGTTCAGACTCCATGTTTGTAGTTCAGGACGGGAGTGTCAGTGACGGAGGAAGTGGAACTCCTCTGAGCGACCGGGCCTCCCTCGTTGGAGTGGATTTTCAGAACGAGAACTCTCCAGAACACCACCCAAATCAGGGCCCCTGGGAGATGAGAGTCTCAGAGAGAGGCATGAAGGAAGAAGAGGAGGTGGAGGCTTCTTCCCACCAGACTGGGTGAATATCTG